ATAAGACAATTTACATTTAAAATAAGAAAAAAAAAAAACAATTGTAATGTCATATTTCAAGTCTATATTATCCAATTTTGTTCTAAGAGTAAAAATACTCATTCCATTGACAAATAATCTTAATTATTTGATCAAATTAAAGCTCAAAAACACTCATTTTAAGAAATTTCTACTTATTTTTAGATTTGCTGTTTTTGCAGTGTAGTTCTGGTCTCCATGTTCATATGATGAATGTACCAGACCTGTGTGAGGCGTTCAATAACTGTTGCTCTAGAAGCTACCGCTGCTTTAAACGCCTCACAGTCCTGCATGGGTCTGATTTATCCAAACTAGTTATAGGTTACAGGTTCAGTTATACCTGAACCTGTAGAGTTCAGAACCGAGACGCATAATTATCCAAATTTAAAACCAACCTGGGACCGCACACGCACAGCCTGTTAATGATGAAGTGTACACACAGCTGTTTATAAAAAGAGGCAGAAAAGAAGATTCAATTTCTAAGGTGTAGAGTTCGTAAATAAGAAAACATATATAAGTTGACTTTATGATATCCTCATTTTGTTCATTTATCCCTGTGTGCCGCACCTATGAAAGAATATGTCGTTTCTTTTCTACCTGTAGATGAAAGTTTTATACAGGTATGAAGCTGGTTGCTCTCCACTCTAAATCATTTAACCTGTGGCGGCTTCAGTGAGGCGTGTTTATGACAATAAAAAGGTAAAGGATGGCGATTGAGCTCACCGTCATCTTCCTCATCCTCCTCCTCGTCGTCTTCCTCGCTGTCTACCTCTCCATTGACGCCGCCGTCCTGCGGGAACAAAGAACGTGATGAGGAACAGCAGCAGACTCTTCTACCGCGTTTCTCCCAGTTAGAAACTGACCTCATCATCACCGCTGTCGTCCTCATCATCATCGTCCTCTTCTGCCACTACGTCTTCCTCATCTTCGTCATCCGATAATTCCTCCGACTCTCCCTCTGAGATCCAGAAACGCTCAGTTTAAAGCATTGCCCCACATTATGAATGATCAGACGTTTAGCCGCCGAACTCTTACCTTCCTCGTCTTCGTCGTCGAGGCCGTCGCCCTCGCCGTCGGAGTCAGACGCCTCGCAATCGTCCACGTCGTAGCCGTCCAGGTAGGTGAGCTGAGGGAGGAGCGTGAAGATGGAGTCCCTGTAGTCGCCCAGGTTGGTCACCTCGCAGTTGAACAGGTCCAGGCTCTTCAGCTGAGGCAACTTTTTCTGGAACGGCAACAAAAGGTTCAACCGTCTAAACATGGAGGACGACCAGGTTCTGACCTACTGGACATCAGCACCGTCACGAAGGTCAGACTCATTTCAGGACCTCCAACCCCTTATAGACGGGTGAAGCTAGTTAGCATCACAGCAGTTCCAGCAAACATGGTTTCTATATAATAAAAATGTTTATAAATCTGTCTCTGGTACGAAGGAAACCGTAACATCTGATTTTTAGATCATTAAGTTGTTAATAAACATGATCCATTTCAGAGCAAAGATGCACTGTGAGACTATATAACATGTAGCTGATAGAAAACAGTAAAATGCCCAAATCTGAATAAAGTTTTACAATGAAAATAAATACAGATTTATCAATGTTACAACTGATAATTGAGGAAGCCATGGACCTAAAGTTCCTAAAACTATTTAGAATTTTCATTTTGAATGTGATGTGAGCGGTGGATAACTTGTTGAGATCTAGGAGTTGGACTGTTGCTGTTTGTGCAAAA